CACGAGGTAAGTGTCACTGGCGGTTTCTTTACATTGTGTGGGAAGTCCAAGACAAGAGCTGATGTGGCAAGAAACACCACAACACTTGTTTCGCATGTCGCCCCATTCATGTGCAACACAACCATGCAGCTCATTTTTAGGAAACAGACACAAGAGCTGTTTTATTACATAGAAGCAGAGCGGGTTGCTGGTGCTCTTAAAGATGATTCAGGTGTACTGCAGCAACTCGGAAGCCGTATACAATCCGACTCTATATTTCCAAAGTCTTAATGATCCCACGAAAACAAAAAAAACAGGTCAATCATGTCACGTGGTAAACACTCTTGCAAGACGAATGAACATATTTGCTCAGGGTTGAAACTGTCACCAAAAGCAGCCGAGTAAATTAAAGAAAGCAAAGGCGAGTTAAAGTTCTATAGACCATAATGTATGGTTCAGTACATTTAGGGTAATAGGCATTGCCTTCGAAGACCCCACTGCATTCCAACACTTGCAATTAAACAGGTTTCTTGACTAATAAAAGCACTAACGCGTAGGCAAAATAAAAGTGATTGTGAAAATAGACACATTATAAACAATTACACATAATATCATTGACAGGGATCATACTTTCGATCTAGTAACTAAAACAGTACTTTTTGTAAGAATACCAAAATCTGAACAAGCTAGCACGTAGTTCAGGTACTGGATTAGTGCTTATATCTAGTCTAGCCTTACTTCAAGGCGTTTTGACCAAGTACTGACTAACTGTTACTGGTATGTGGAGTTCTTATATAAGCACGGCATCAGTGATACCGGGCTTGTTTTAACAACTACGTCGGGTAGGTAGCGAGGAAGACAAAGAGATTTTATTAAGCCAAAGCGAGTAAAAAAGACTCACTTTATAATTTTTTCGTCGGAAATTGTGAGGGCACGATTATCATTATCCGTCCACAAGCACCTTCGGATAGTCTTCTTATGGCCCGGAAGTGTGATGACGGCTAAGTCGGAAAAAAGATACGCATAAGAATGACAGTCAAAAGGATAAAATCTAAATATTTTAAACTGAAACTGACCCTTTATAAGGCTTCAAAGCATTTAAATGGAACAATAAAGACACTATTGAGTTAGTTATATTTAACTAAATATATTGGCTCATCATCTATTCGAATATAAGTATCATTTAAACAACCCATATGCTCTACCATTTACATAAACGAAACTTCGAATTATATACCGAATGAAATTACAAAGTCTTCTTCTACTATCCTTTCTGTCGGCGATGTCGCAATACACTTGAAACTCATAAGAAGAATAGAATAAACATTGAAAGGAACAACAGTTATGATAAGGCAATGGGGTATTTTAGTAAGTCGTAGGAATAAAACTTGTCGTGAATTATGTCGTCTTATCTCGACAACTAGATATCGACTATATGTTGACCAAGGTATAACTATCTATGTGGACGTATCAATACCCACTTAATATAGGCTTACTATTACGGCACCTGAACGTACGGGCGACAAAAACAGAAAATGGGCTATTTAGTGCGCAAATATGTCGAATAAGTACTTAAAAACTTACGCGCAGAAGGAGCTTCCAGGTCATAAACATGAACCTGTTGTTTGTTGTTGGCGGTCATGAGCCGTTTCCCACCATCTGAAACGCTCAAATCTACTGCGCGAACGATGTGATCCTGTGAGATTGAAAGCATTTCATCTCCTGTTTCAACATCCCAGACTTTCGCACAGAAATCTGCGGCACCGGTAGCCGCTTTTTTTCCGGCGTCGTCCATTGTACAACACCAGACGGCACCACGATGACCAAGAAAGGTGCCAATCCAATCCCCCGTGTCACCGGTGCGCAGCATCGCCTTCCCATCTAAAATCAACAATGTGGAAAATGATACAGTTCTCTGAGAAACCAGAGAATAAAGTAGAAAACTTCGAAATTAATATCTTGGATTGTATGCCTATGTGGTTTAGGCAAAATGTGTATGTGTAAATTACCCTTTGAAGCGGTCACAAGCAGAGATCCACATTCTGATTCTCCACTAAACTTAAGGTCAACAACAGGTCGTGTGTGTCCACTACAAGAAATTGGATTCTGGCGAATGGCTGCCATCAGGCTTCCGGATGTAACAACGGGGGACTATGCGATTAGCCTACTGGGGATAGCCGGCCGAACAAACGCAAACTAAGCACAGTCAAAACACCAATGAATTTCAAGACGGTAGTTTATTTTAAAAAAGACTTAGAAAAACTAAAAAAATTTAAATGCATATCATAAAAATTAAAGAGCAAGAAAAGGATTCACGAATCCGTTCCCTACCCTCTACTGATGAAACATGAAACATGAAGGCCATGGTCAAGCCAGCACAAATACCATTGAGGGCATATAAAATAAGGTAGTAAGCATAAAGCCGGTTATAGGTGTCTCCCATGGACCGGCATTACGCTGACATTCAGCTCTTCCATGCACTTATGAACAAATGCTAGGGCCCAATGTATCAATCGAGTTTGATAAGGCCTTCCGCCTTGGAAAACGGCAAGAGAGTCCAACTGGATCAACGCGTCCCAGACCTCTGAAAGTGGTCATGACCAGCAGTTGAGAGGCCAAGCTAATTCTGGCTAAGCGTTCTAGAATAAAAGACTCCGACCCGGGAGTTTTTTTTTCAGCAA